GGAAGAATTTGTATTTCTACACAAAAGGCCATTAGCTATAGCTCTTTTTTTATATTATCTTATTGTCTTTTACTGCTATGGTATATACTGGTCTTCTTTCATAAAAATATTGTCATTCTTGCCAATGTTAGAGTCACTAAAGTTTGGTGGGTGCTAAAGTGCCTCCTTTTCCTTTTGTTGTTTGAGTTATTATGAGCTTGACCCTTTTTTTCTGATGAAAGTTCTTTGGTGGTCAAAATAAAATTGATTCGCTATATAGGATTTTGTTTACCGAGGGTTTGAATCCCTCTCGGCTTGAACGCTTACCTTATTATTATGAAAAGGAGAAAGGGCTTCTTTTATAGAGAGAGAGAGAGACGAGAAAGAGGTCTCTCCTTCCAAAAATACCAGTTATAAATAGCTTTAGCATCTTCTGAGTTGAACTAGCCTGTTCATATCGCTTTTTGTTCATTTTCGCCACGTAAGGAGTGGGGATTGGTTTCTGAAGAAAATATAGCATAACTTAATTGCATATTTTCATGTGGACAACTAGCTGGAAATTTGCTAGAAATTTAAGCAACCTGAAGAGTTGTAAAAACTGAACTGAAAGGGGAAGATCCTAGCATTTAGATGAAAGAGTAGCTGATGTTATATTTTCCGAAGAATTTTTTTGATGTATTAAGATAGTGCTGTGACTCATTAGCAAAACTGAATTTAGCTTGCGCGGATAAAGTTCTTTGAGATGTATTGTGCTTATGACATGAAGTTCTAGAAATGGAAAAGTTACACAGTTATTTTGGAGCTATGAATTCTGAAGATTTCTGGATAGCTTATCTTATATTTTGACTGCTCCAATTTATATAAAGGCACGTAAACCTTTTACCCAATGCTGAATTGGATTTGACTGGTGAAGTTGGATTATTTTTGGGGTTTGAGTACACAGTTAGCATCATAAGCTCACCTGAAATTATGTTGGAAGCCCATTGCTGCCAATGCACAATCTCACTGTGTAAGCATGTCCCAGTCAGCTATTACTGGCAGAAACTATTCGTAGTCTTAGATGTTAAGTATAGTGAAAATGTGACTTAGCAATTTTCCTCAACTCCTGCATTCTATTTGTAATACTTAGATATTATTACTTCTGTTGATCTTAGTACATTGGTGGATAGATTATGGAAGGATGATATTTCTCTCTGATAACAACTTCCTTCCCATTCATCTGGCCTGCCACCCCCGTTTCCCTGGCTATATGGATTTATACCTTAATTGCATTACTATGCCAGGGTTTATTTGGACCATCCATGCCAAAGAAGAATTTGCACAATTTGAGAAATTTGGATTCCTTGTCAAATCTGAAACCACTGGAAGAGGTCTGTTCTTTCTAGGCTTCATACTAAATAGTCTGAATGAAAGAAACTGCAAAGATTTTACACGTAAAAGTTCATGAAATTAACCGAATCTGTTAAAGAATTATGTGATGAGAATTAGTCCATAATCTTAACTTGCCAGTTGCGGAGGAACTCTCCCTCCCAAAACGATTCAGGACAGTGGTCAAGGTTTTATGGGTAAATTTGGAACTGTGCTGAGCCGGACGATTTGTTCTTCTGGATTGCTCCTTATCTAAGGTCAAGAACTTTGTCTGTAAAAATTTAGTACAAAGATGGGACAGGCCAACCTTACGTCCCGAAGTACAATGGAGGGGAGAGAATTTTGCAGAAAATCTAAATATGGGAGTACTACTCCCATTACATAAGACCATTACAGGAAATATAAATTTGGAAGTACTACTTCCATATAGAAGATTAGTCTTTCCTATTAGAAGGCCGGACTGGCTCAAGAGAAGGATTATCACACCATAGACCTAATAAGAGGCATACAACAAGCAAAACCCCCCTTACAACAACCTATATATGCAATCTAGAAAGTACAACACATACCATTCACACAAGGCTGGCTTTTTTTGCTCTATACATAACACTTGTATTAGCATAGGCCATATATGAAAGCTATATGATAATGCAAAATATACAATATATATAACACACAGCTGTATAATATATAAGTATGCTCATTATCAATGCTTAAAATGCAGCCTACGACCAATCATTCTATATGCAGCATAGAACTATATTAACTTGAACCCCAAATACGCGCACCAAAACACACTTAAAATGCCATCATATATTACCTTGAGCCAAATCCAGCACTCGTTTACCTGGGGTGCCAATCTTACATGCCATCAGAATCTGCACTCTTGTTCTTTGTCAAAGAGCATATCTCACGAGATTTTTCCTTCTTATGTGCAAATAAGGTATTTCCATGACATCTATACAAGAATTCTAATTATGCTCTCCCCCAAATCCTTGCAGTTCCTGATTCTATTGTTTTTAGTTCTAAATCCTTCATTAGTCATCAAGACTGCTGCTACATTGCCCTCTCTAGTCTCTACTAGCACAGGTGCCAGTTACTCCAGTTTTCTCCAGTAGATATGAAACTCCCATGGTGCATTAGTTTTTTTCTTCACAAGGATAACCACAGTTGGGGAGTGTAACTTCACCCATATATCCCGAAAGTTTCGCCGTCCACATATTTGTAATCTGCGACAAATGGCCCTAACTTCATCATCAAAACTGTTGAAAGTCCCACAAAATTCGTTAAATGCAAGCACCACTTTACCATCATGGTCCCTAATTAGTCCTCCCCCTCCTCCCTCTCCCATGTCAGATTCTTTACTAATCCAAATTTAGATGAGGTTCTAGGAACAACTTCTAAACATAAACAATGAAGACAGAAAGGATATGGCACATGGACAAAAAAATTTCCTGAAATAATTGTAGTATATGACATACTCGGAACATTTTGAGTAAAATGTTATAGTTTTATAAGATGCCATCCAAATGAAATTGTCCTTGATGAAATTGGAAAGTCTTGCTGAAGAGTTGAACACGATCAGAGATGTAAGTAAAGTAAACCATGGTTAGGCTACTGGTTCTAGGAACATCGAGTATGATGGAAAAGTACAGTTGTGGCAGGTCGAACATGATCAGAGTTGAACATGATCCGAGATGGTTGCAAGTGAAGCAAACTATGGGTAGGCTACTGTTTCTTGGAGAATCGAGGATGATGGAAAAGTATAGCTATGGCAGGTTAAACAATGATAGAGATCATCATGGGCACACAAGGCCTAAAAGTGTAACAGATCAATTCATAACATGTTTTTGTATATATAAATCATCTCTGATGTATATAATTATCAGATTATATGCTACATCAATTCAATTTGATTGTGAAATAAAAATGGTAATAAGTTAACCCTATTTTGGATATTTGTTTATTTTCCTTTGTAGGTGATGGCATTCGATGAGACACCTTGATCTTTTCTCTCCCCAGATTTTTATTTGTGGGTCAAAACAGCTACAAACAGCAAGAGAAATAACAAATTTGAAACAGGAAGTGTAAAGTCGCTGTGAATACTCCATGTTAAAAGTGCTATCTTGTATAGTGATATTATTCAGCACCATGATGTCTGCTTTTCTTTTCGTGTTTATTATTGTATTTCCTACGAGCAAAAAGCTTTTAGCCAAAGTTCTCTTCAACGAAGAGAATGAATGTTATATGGCTAAACGGTTGAACCTGCTGGGATTGTTAAATCCATGGTATTGACAACATATTTTGCTTAAAAAAAATTAGTACAACTGAAAAAATTGTACTAAATACTTGAGCTTGTAGTTATATCTTTCATGGGCAAAAACTACTTTGACCACTTGTAAGCGATATTGTTTTCCTAGCCAAGTACTTTCCTTTCCCTAACTTGGTCACTCTTAATTTTCTTTCTTTTATTTTATTTTTTCTGTTACATCCCCAAGTTGGCTTTTTAAAACAGGGTGCATGATGTGGCAATGCCATGTGTAGGACAATCTAGTAGTTTTACTAACAGAAGCTAAATTTGGTGATATAATTGAAACACAAAGATAAGTTAAGTGATCAAAGACGAAACAAAAGAGCGTGATGTGCCAAAACAAAGATTCATTGAAGGTTGAGTTGTGAGGGGAGGGTAGTGGGTACCATGCACGAACACAAAAGGAGAGAGATGGAAGTTGCATTAGAAGTTAGCTCAAGCAAGCGCCTTTGTATACTTGGATAGTTATTTAGTAGTGATTTTCGTAAAAGAGCAAGTCGGGATCTTGATTTGAGATGGTAATAGTTTTTTTTTTTTTTTTTGATCGGTGAGATGGTAATAGTTTATTTGTTTAGTTGTAACTTATCGTAGGGTAGTAGGAGAATTTCTATCTAAGCATCAAGTACTATCCACACATTTCGAGAACTCACAATTATTATTCACTTACTATTTATTCTACTATTTAAAAAAAAATAAAAATTACCGTTTATAAACATTTTCTAAGCGATCAGCAAAATAGAATCCGGTATTATATGCATGGGTGGACCGTCAGCCAAAGTTCAAGAATGCATCGAAACCAATAAGCGAGCTCTTCTAGTCTAATGGCAGCTCCGCTTGTTAATGCTTCAAGGATGATTTCCTCAATGGATTATTTTCTTTAGATGACGAAATATGAAGAACACCATATTTTAGTTTTGACTTCTGGGAGAGAATGAAAAATGGGTTTTTCTTAATTGAAATTATGATAAATGGCTCGTTACTTGGTATTATACTTATAATTTGTGTGGTGGTGCAAGAGATGTGACATTGATCCATTACAGCATGCACTCTTTGATAACACCTCGTTGAGGAAGTCGAGCTAGGCGGATTTGAAGACGATGACGATGATTTCTCCAGGTTGGGCCTAGTGATGAGGAATTTCAATTGGAAAGAGAAGATACATCTTTTAAGTTTTTAAAATTTTGTTTTTATTTTTCTTCTTAGATGATAATGAATGTCTGCTATTTCCTTCTTCTATGGTTTATGTCAAGTCCAAATTGAATTAGCAGTTTCCAAATTTGTAATTGGCAATTTTTCAAGTCAAAATTAAGTCACAATTGAATTGTATTGGGAGTTTATTGAGTTGTAATCAAAGTCAAAATAATTAAAGATTGATAGTATAGGTTTTAAAGGAGTCGATTCAAAGATGTCCAAAAAGATCACATATGATCAAGAGAATGTAACTAGAAGTCTAAAGAGTGTTAAAGAGTCATATAAATTATGTTCCAGATTTTAAATCACAACTTACAACACATTTTTCACATAGAAAATATTCGAATTTGAAAAATGTTACACTAGAAGAATTGTAGTCCTTTGAGTCATTTTTTCAACACATTTTAAATCACCTCAATCGGATAGCTAAAAAGAAATTTATGATAAAATACTGATGATTACTCAGACGGTGCTCGTTGGCTACCCTTCATAGTTACTGGAGTTTTTGGGAAGTGGCGCTTGGAGTTCCGTCATAAAGATGAGGTTCACAGGAGATAAATGATACTAGAGGTCGAGAGCTAGTGTGAGGAGCACGTAGTCTAGGAGAGCCAAGATAATTACAGGAAGAAGGTCAGAGTGGACTAAAGATTAGTCGGGTCTGGACCATACTATAAGTCTCATTGTTTATAGTGTATAGTTGACTAGCAAAGTGCCCAGAGTTTTTGATTATTTGCAATGGGTTTTTGTTCGTGATCATATTAGTGTTATTTACTTCACGGGATTTGTAACCTGTGGTATTCAGACATATAATAAATTGACTTGTTTGATCTAATCGTCTACAAACAATTGTGTAAATTGACTTGCTTTTAATTGTGTAATTTCGCACGTTGGGTCTAAATATATCAATAATTAAAACTTTCAAGTGGTATCAGAGCTTAATTGTGATCCTTGACCCAAAAATTGTTTAAATGAGTCAATCACATTCTGATGTAAGATATGAGGATGATATGAATATTCATGAGGCTTATCACCACTATATAAGGAGTGTCTCAAGTTACATGAAGTTAATAGATTGGTTTTTAAAAAACTGAATAAGCTTAAATTAGAAAAAAATGAGCCTTGTAATTAAACTTGAGAAGTCTACCAAAAGCTTGAATGAATTACGGGTTGAGAAAGAGTCCCTAGAAATTAAGATTAAAACTCTTATAAATGATCTTGAAAAATCAAATGCCCAACTTCAATCCTTCTCTAGCATATCTAAGAAGATTGATAACATGGCAGATCTAAATAAAATAGATGGGAATGGAGGAGATTTAGACGATAATGAAACAAATTCTCATACAACTTCATTTTCTAACAATAAGTTATTTTTTGCCTCAAAGCCTAAGATTCAAAACTTGAAACCTAGAGTGGTTCCTAGGTTCATCCCTATGTGACACCATTGTGGTAAAGTAGGACACATAAGACCTAAGTGTCGCGAGCTCTTGAATAGGGTCAAGCACAAATTTAGGTGTCCAAGGATCAAAATCATCAGTACAACATCGATTTCCTTCACCTAAAGTTCAAAATATGAAACTTAGGATTGTTCCTAAATTTGCACCCACATGTTATAATTGTAGTGTTTTAGGTCACATCATATCTAATTATTGTAAGTCATTGGTTATGTACAACAATCAAGATCTAACTACCCATGTTAGTTTCTTGACTGATCAAGTGAGTCATTTGACTAAATTGATGACTCAGTTAACTCAGATTACATCTTCTTTTAAGAAGATTTGGGTCAATAAGAGTGAACTCACATATTTAAGTGAAGTTGATAATTGCGATATTTCTCATGTAACTCTTCATGGCAAGAGCACTTATGTGTATGCATTTGCATTTTTCATGATAGTTATATATTCATGCATGATTGTATGTTCATTGTATATTAGGAGTTTCCTTTTACTTTATTCTTTATTTTAAAAAAATTGAAAAAGAAAAAGATTTTTTAAAAATTTTTAATTGGACGTGTTATTTTGATATCAAGCACTAGTAGGGTTCATGATTGATAAAATAAACTTTCATTAATTTGTTTAGAACTTGTTTAAGGTACTTGGTATAACTATTACATATATCTTATACACTACACACACTAGACTCTTGAGTAGGTCTTGACTGTATGTTTGAGATTTAGGATGACAGTCATTTGTGTAGTGGTGAATTGATTTTGAATATAGAATGACCTTAAACTAGATTGACCTAAATTCTAGTATATTCCCCATGAAAGAAAATGATTTTAGTGATTCAAATTTTGAAATATATGAAAAATTGAGATACTTCTTATACTTTTTTATTTTTTTTGAAGTCTATTTGACTCGAGCAATTAAGCTCGAGAGATTTCTCAAAACTTGATGCCCTATGGTCATTTAACCTGGAGTTATCGATCCAATACTCATTATAGGGGTTATTTTAGTTGCTTAATGGAGAAGAGATTGAAGATATGATATAAAAAAAAGAGAGAAATATATGTGCTTACTGATAGGGAGCAGAGAAAATTTATACATTAAAAAATCGATATGAGATTTTTTATTTAAAAGGTCCTAGAAGCACTAACATTGACTTCATACTTTGAGAAAAATATTCATTCACCAATAGTTTCTTTGTTGTTTCTCATTGATTTAAGATTTTGAGACATGCTTACAGGAACTTAATTGCACTTATCACACATGTGTAGCTTATATAATTTACTCCATTTAGGTTTAAAATAAGTTAGTGAGAAATGTTTACTTTTTATTTTTTTTTATTTTTTTTTATGAACTATACATTATAAGTAAATAAGTGTTCAAAATGAATATCCATGAAAAAAAATTTAAAAAAAAATTGATCTCAAAATAGAAAAAAATTTATTCTCCTATCATATATTTTGCATAATATTTGCATCATTATACATATACATATTTTTTTAATCATTCCTTTGTTATTCATAACAAAAAGAGGGAGAGGTGTGCATTTATTTCAGAGAGTTGATTATACGAGTTAGGGGGAGAATTTTAAAAATCTTGAATTTTTTTTTTTTTGATAGATGACTTAGGGGGGAGTAATTTGATATATTTGCTATAATTTCATTATTGATATAGTGTTGTTTTGTCTATATTAATATGAAATTCTATGGTTTATTTTTAAGTTTATAATTCACAAGATATTGTATGCTTCGGTATTACACAAATTTTATTATGTTATTTTATTTAAGTTAGTTATATGATTTTAGTTTTGGTAGTTTCCTCTTGCGTTTCACTTGGTGTATTTGTTTCCATGTGTTTCGGTAAAAAGGTTGACAATTTGCTGAAGTGTGGTTTGAAAAATGTCTATTAGGTAGACTACAGTGGACTCTTGATTTTGAAATAAATGATTGTGTCACGGAATGCTGAAGATGAAGATTGTTAGTCCAAATTATAATTAGTTTGTAACTGACAATTTTCTAAGTCAAATCAAAGTTCTAGAAGGTGTTTGAGACCCATTTTTATGTAAAAATGCATTTTAGAATAATAAATTGATGAAAAATGTGTTGTTAAAAAATAAGGACAAATTGTTGAGTTACGTGTAATATTATTTTAATAAAGAATGTGTGGTTGAAAAGAAGAGAGAGAAAATGTATTTTGAAAAAAATGAGTACCAAACAGGTCTCTAGTTGAATTGTATTAGGAGTTTATTGAACTGTAATCAAAGTCAAAATAGTTAAGAATTAGTAGTATAAGTCTTGACGGAGTCTAATATTTCAAAGATATACAAGAAGATCACATAGGGTCGAGAGAATGCAATTAGAAATCTAAAGAGTGTCATAGTGCCACACAAGTTATGCTACAAATTTTAAGTTGCAACTTGCAACACATTTTTCACATAAAAAACATTCGAATTTGATAAATACTATTCCAAAAGAATTGTAGCCCTTTAAGTCAATTTT